TAAAGTATTGAGGTCATTATTATTATCATGAAAATTGCATAGCTATCAAAGAACTTCACCACAATGGTTACAAATTTTATTTTTGGTTTTATGATTATTTGTTTATGTTGTTTTCTAATGTAGTCACCAAACTCCTGTGCTACTATAGAAGAAAAATGTCGCTGAATTCATAATCAAATGGCCTTATTGTTAGCCTCTGAACTCTTCTAACAATCATAGGAACTTTATAATAGACTTACATTTTTGTGCCATGACTACCACCTTTTGTGATTGATAAAGAAAATTCTCATCTTTGAGCTCAGTACCCCCCACTTATTCCTCTTTAATACCTTTATTCATGCAAACTCAACAGCACAATTCAAGAGTTTCATCTCTTCTTGCCTTTGCCTCCAACTCAGTTTGTGTCAGTTAATTCAATCCTTCCATTTCTAATATCAAATAGGTCTAAGACATCTGAAGAAAGTGGGAGAGGTTTTCATAAAGATTTGGCATCAGATAGGGTATCTAAAAATTTTAGCTTTTAAAACTTACAGCACTAGCTCCCAGATCTCAAATCCACTGTGTACTTTATCCTTCTCTCATTTGCATTGCATTAATAAATTCTCTCTTTCTACTTTGGCATAGAGATTCATTTTGATACAGAATTGAATTTACTGACCTTGGCACTACTGACATTTTAGAGGAGAGGTGAATAACTCTTTATTGGGGTCAAGGATTGGGTGGAGGGGCAGGGGGCAAATGGAGGTCCTGTGCATTTTAAGATATTTAGCAGTATCTCTGATTCCCTACCCACTAGATGTCAATATCAGCATATGTATGTGCACATATTCATACACATACATACACACACACAAAGCCACGCTCACAATTATCTCAGACATTGCAAAATGTCCCTTGGGGGAGGATTTTCAAAATACACCCTGGCTGAGAAACACTGCTCTAGAAAATGTTAGCAAAAGATAGGAAATCTCAGGATACCACACATAGAGCCATTCCTCAGCAAGACAATGACCATGAAGCTTTTGACCTTTGCCTTTACACAGAGACCCCTCTAGCATATACAAGAATGATTCAGGCCCTATGTATGGATTACAAAACTGAATAAAGTGAGCATCTATGCTTTGTTTATAGTTTACAGAGGAAAAACAATCAATAATCTACCATTAAGTTTATTTTTAACAGTAAGAATTGTCTGGACTTATTTTATCCATTTGAAGAAGATATCCTCTTTCCTAGTTTTCAGAGTTTTTAATTTTGAATCAATGTTACTCCTTTTCAAAAATTCTTCTGCATATCTTGAGATGATCAGATGAATTTTCTTATATGTTATTTGGAGTGACTGCATTGGTTAATTCATATATGCTAAACCAACCTTACATTCCAGAAAGTAAAATTCAATGGTGATGAAGTATGAAGTATTAGCCCTTTTATATGTTGTTCAGCAAGAATAAGTAATAAATTGTTAAGAAACTTTTGTCTGTGTTAGTGCATGTCGGTCAACAATATTTATTTCTGGTAATGTCTTTGAGAGGTTTTGGTAACTGTTATTTATATTGGTCTCAAAAATGAGTTGAAATACCTTCTCCCTTCCTCTGGTGAAAATCTTGTGTAGACTTAATATTTTTCCTTAAATTTTTAATTTATTAATAAAACTGTCTGGGCCTGTGCTTTTCTTTCTGGGAAGGTTTTTGATAGTGAATTAATTTTATTTAATAATTATTCACATTTTTATTATTTCATCATGTGTCAGTTTTGGTAAATAAACTGAGTTTTACAAGGAGCTCATCTGTTTCACTTAAGTTGCTGAATTCATTACAGTAAAATTGTTAGAGATATTCCTCATTATCCTTTAAAATCTACACAGTTGGAAAACAGTCATCAGTCCTGATATCAGTAATTTGTATTTTCTCTCTCTTTTTTTCTTCATCAGTATTCCTAGGTGGATTTTTATACTTGCTCTAATTTTGTTTCTCTTTCATTGATTTTGGCTTTAAGCTTTATTATTTTCTCCCTTTAACTTTGACTTTAGTTTGATATTGTCCTAATTATAAAGCAGAAATTTACAACATTGATTTTAAAGTTCCCTCTATGAAATGTCTGCAGTATTCTACAATTTTTAACATAAGATATTGTCTGGGTGCTTCTTTTTCTATAAGTGTACATTGTGATTTCTGTTTGAGCACTGGTTATTAAGAAAATGTTTATTTTTCAAATATCTGTGGATTTTCTCTATACTGTTGATCCTTGAATAACATGGGGGCTGGGGTGCCAACCCCTACACATCAAAAATCTATGTAGAACTTAATAGCCGTCCCTCCAAATCCATGGTACTGCATCCAGGGATTCAACCAACTATGGGTCTTGTTGTACTATTGTATGCATTCACTGAAAAAATTCCATGTGTAAGTGGACCCATGAAGTTCAGACCTGTGTTTATCAAGGGTCAACTCTTAATTTTGTTATTGACTTTTAATTCAACTGCTTGATGATCAAAGAATATGTCTTAGAGGCTGCACAAAAAATTAATGGGCCATGCCTATGTACCACTTTCAATAGCTCAAATTTAATAATGTTGTTTTATGATATACTTTCTCTTTCAGAGCATTTAAAACAGAGAAGTTCATAATGATGACTGAAAATAAAAATTTCTTCAATAGTATATAAATATATCTTGACTAGATCCAAACGTAGAGATTTAGGTATAGAAAGGCAAGTAATTTTAATGCACATCCTCAGTTAAGAAATCACTAGACCAGATAACTTATTAGTCAACATATCCTAAATTTTACTCAATTAATTCATTCAAATTTTTGTAGAGTGGTAAAAATGTGCCAGGTTTTTTGCTGAGAACTAGAGCTTTAAGTACCAAGATACTTTTTTTACTATACTATATTCTTAATATTTATGGCAAATGATATGAAAACAAATATAGGTATGTTCATGTATGACTGAAGTATTATGCTGTACACCAGAAGCTGACACAACATTGTAAACTGACTATACTTCAA